AAAAATTGTTTTAAAAAAGTAAAAAAATTAAGATTAAATACATAAAAAATTTGTATGTTTTGCATACAGAATTATAAATCTTCTAAACTATTCCTAGAAGTATATACTTAAAAGTAAATTTCAATAATATAGTTGTATATAATAGTTCAAAACATCACAAATTCAACCACCAAAACTGTAACTTTTATTTGGTAATATGTATTTTAATAAACAGCTTTCTCCATCTGTAAGACCCTGATAATGCCTTTTAGGAAATGATAGAAAATAAATACAATAATTAGCAATTTGTACTCTGTACAAAAATCTTACTATGTTGTTCAGCAGGTCGTTTTGCTAAACACCATATTCTTTCAGCAAATATATGACATACATAATGCAATTTACCATAAACAATCCCTCATATTGAAAACTGGACATTCTCTAACACCCATTAGCTTGTATGCATGCCAGCACATGAAAATTTACATGGACTATTATAGTAGATTTTTATAAGATGAAAAATAGTACCAGTTTCCAATCAATCTGGACTGTTCCACTGCTGTGATCAAGTAGGTAGTAGGTGGGATCGCAGTTCGATTACTTATATTTGTGTCTCTACCATATTGTAATTACAACTAAAAAGAAAACATAGACTGTGTAAGCAACCTGGGAGGAAACATATATGGCCTAAATAGTGATATGATTCCAAACTGAGAAAACCTAATGTGGTGCTGCCCTTCCTTGTAGGGTCACAAGCAGATCTATACCCTCTTGCAAGAAAAGATGGCTATAATGCTAACATTTGAGGATAAATGGCTTCAAGTCAGTTTACAAAGACAAGTCTTTACATGTCTTTAACATATGGACAGAAAATATTTTGGCTTCAGTTTTTAATTAGTCAAATATAATCTTTGTGATGGATTAAATATGTCATTCTAAACAGATGTTATCTTGTTATTTTATAGAAATACACTACTTAGCTGGGCGGTGGTGGTGCATGTCTTTAATCCCAGTATTCGGGAGGCAGGGCAAGTAGATCTCTGTGAATTTGAGTCAAGCCTGATCTACATACAAAATGAGTTCCAGGACAGTCAAGACTGTCACACAGAGAAACCCTATCTCAAAACACAAAAAATTAAAATGAAAGAAATATACAATTTAGTATTATTTTAGGATTTGTTTTGCAAAGACTTTCATAGTTAATATTTTGAGTGCATTGAAATGTCTACCATTTAACTTTTGAGGTGTCCACTAAATAAAGTGTTGATGCAGATAAACATTTACATGTATACTTACATTTTATATTTTGGTTATGCTAGAACTGCAAAAATCTGGACAACAATCTTATCCCATTAGTCACAATCTAATTTCACATAAAGCCCAAAGAAGAAATATGCTTCTTTAAATTCCCACATGTCAGATACAGCTTATCCAGAAATGAAGCACCAAGCACTGTTAAAAAAAAATCCTGTCTATTAAGTTGAGGGGGACAATGAACAAAACAACCTTATATTGCCCTTGTACTTCTAAATGGCAAGAATATTTTAGTGCTTTCTATTGGAAACAAAACAAGTAATTTATCCTAGAAGGTTAATATCTGCATAACTTTTTTTCTTTTTAAAACTTTTATGGGAGTTTAACACCACCAATAGAATTTGAAAATATTGACAGCCTAAATAAATACCATACCTCTTTCAAGACTAAAGTAATTTTAATTTTTATAGCTTTTCAAATAGAATATATACAAAATATTGCTGTCATATACTCTGTAAAAGGCAAGCATACATAAGAAAACAGAAGAAATACTCACACGCTTGAGAAGTCCTCAATCTCTATGATCTGGACAAAGAAGACTCTTTAGAGTCCTTAAAAAACCAACTGTCAGGACTTCTAATAAGATATATATGATGAAGATGCCTTTGAGATATTTTATGTTTTCCTCACTATTTATTATACATAAAATTCAATTAAATCTGTGTATACAAATTATATGTATTCCCCTTTCTACTTTAACAAATTACATACCTCTTTTTCAACCTCCTCTTCCTTCCCAAACCCTACAATGACTTTTCTTGCTCAAATCAAACTACTCAGAAAACATCTTTGCCTTTTACCACAGATCTACCAATTTAGCTGCACAGTGAATAATCCCTTCCTTTGCATTGGAGTCCTGTGGACCTGTTCCTTTTTAAAGTAACCTTTACACTTTGCTTGAATACCAACAAACCTTCTACCTCTTCAGCCTCTTTCTGTAATTATCTTCTCTCCTGCATAATCAGTTTCCAGTCTGCCAAATCACTCTCATTAGTATGTAAATATGCTCTAACATCCTTCATCTAAACAAAACAGAAAACAAAGCCCAGAATTCTCTTGACCCCAGAGCTCTTTTGCTACAGTCCTATTCTGTCACAACAAATACTTCTGAAGACTTGTTCACAGATTCCAGTTCCAATTTGTATTTCTCTTCTCAGTCCTTTCCAAGCAGGCTTTGACTTCACTGTTTCGTCGAGACTGCCCTCAGTAAGGACTTTAGAGAGCGCGTTCTGGACAAAGTTGCCATATCCAATGACTTTGTTGTGATCTTGACTCATTTTTCTTTTCTCTTAGACTTATTTTTGTTATTTTTAACTTTGTATGTATATGTATCTGTGTATGTGCACATGTGTGGGAATGCTTCCAGAGATCAGAAGAGGGCTTCAGATTCCCTGGAGCTACAGTGATAGGCAACTGTTGTGAGCTCCTGAATGCCGTTGCTAAAACCAAACTCAGGTACTCTGCCAGAGCAGTATACACTGTTAAGCCATCACTTTAGCCCTGGTCTTGACTTAAAACACTCAATCAACTGTATTTCTCTTTTCTGTACCTTATCTTTTTACTTCGTGGCTTACTTTGGTCACTTCTTGTTCTCTGCCTCAACCCTAAGCACTGAAATTTTTTTAAAGCTCAGTCCTGGGTATAGTTTTCTATCTACTGTAAAAGGTTCTTGGTTTGAAAGTATAAATGCTACTATATAGACTATTGAATGTCAGTTCTGATCTTCAGTCTTAGGAGCTCTTTTGAACTCTCAGATACAGCGGTTTACAACTGTATGTATATGTGCACACTTGTGTGTGCCTGTGCATGTAGAGGACAGATGACAATTTGAGTGTCCTTCCTCAGTTGCTGAGACGGGTCTTTCACTAACCTGGAACTTACGGCTGAACTGGCTGACCAGCGAGCCTCAGGGATCTTCTTGACTACATCTACCAGCTGTGGGATTATGTTAGGTTTTGGAAAACAGGGATCCTTGGGCTTAAACTCATTATCAAGCTTGCAAGTGCTGAGTTATCTCCCAGACCACAGCCGCCTACATAATAGTTCCACTTGAATATCTACTGTTTATTTCTGGCACCGCGTAGCCAAAACCAAATTTGATTTTCCCCTCCAATGCTCCTACACACTGTCATTAAATTAATTGCTGGTTCCCCAAATGCAAATTTAGTTTTGTCTTTTCTGTCTCTTCATCCCTCATTCCCAATCCCAATTCCAATTACTGATGAGTAAACCTGGTTTTAAATCATCCCAAACTCTTCAACTTGTCTCTGTCTTCAGCATATTTACTCTAACATGAGCTACCCCTTTTTATTAAACTACTGCAGCCTTGTTCACGCACTTTGATTCTGTATTTTTCCTTACTACTACTGCTATATGTACTCTCTGTATTCTCCCACACTCCAAATTCCTGACTGTTAGCTCCTCCTTCTACCTGTAACTTTGTCCTTGCTTCTCTCATGGATGTTTCCTTTGTGTTTTTCCAGATTGAAGTTTGATATCATATCTGTACCAATTTATTTTACCACTTACTGTAACATGTATGTAACATGATGGTCACAACACGTGGCGATTGTGTGTCTTTACTATTAAAATGTCAATTTTATGCTATTGGCCCTTGCTTGTCTTGTCCATCTGTAATCCTTAGTGCATTGCTGGATGTCTGTATTTATAATAAACACATTTAAAATAAATCTGCATGTAAGTATATATACTTATTTTAATAAGTTGAGTGATTTTTACAGTTTTGGGTGAGTAAACTGACATTATTTTCTTTATTTCCCTATTGTTTTAAATATTACATAGTATAGATAGGATAAAAAATTAGGCATATCATGTTATTCTCAGCATTTACATTAAATTATAGATAATTCTATATTTAATGTAGAGTGGTTAAAGTTGTAAAATAGGAGAATGCAGTATTTTAACTTTTTCAGAGGGCTTTGGAAACTTGGAAAGAGATAAACAGATTATATAAAATTGAATATTTATTTGCTTCTGTTTGAACATCCTATTCAGTGAAATGTTAAACACAAGATAAACATAAGTTAAAAAATTACTAGAAAAATTAAACATTACTCTACAAAATTCACTTTCTTCTTGTGGAAAGCAAAGCAATTTGCTTTTTCTAGCTGACCTTATAGGATAACTGACTAGTGTAAGATAAAAGAAGAATCCTTTGACAAAAAGAAATTGTAGCTACTATGATGACATTTGGTTTCAACTTTTCGAGAATTGACAAGTTCCTAACATTATGTGATTGGATGAAAATATAAAACATGCAGCTGCAATTCTGGTACTCAATTCTGTACTTTCAGCCCCCAGCGACAGCAGTGGAGGATACTGAAGACAGCCTGGGCTACTTGGGGAGACTCGATTTCAAAAAAATGGACTAAAGAAAACCATTGCCTTCTTTAAATCCAAGCTCTTAAGGAGTGACTCTGAAAGCAACGGGGGAAATAAAGAATATAAGCACTTAAAGTTCAAGGGTGACTCATAAAAACAAAAGTATCTCATAAAATTTATAGGAAGATACCACATTTTAAAAACATTTAATATTGTGTAAAATATAAGTAACTAGTTAAAAGTATGTTGACTGTAAACCCTTTCATGTCAGCTCTTCAATATCTTTTAAATACTCTTTTAAATTTATGACAGAAGTAAAAAATAAATCCATGAATTGGGTAATTCATTAACATGTATAAAATATTTTGACAGTCATATTTAATGAATTAATATTTTAAAAACATTTTGCTTACATTTCTTAGAAATCAATGCATTAATAGAAGAACATTCAAATACGACCACAGCCTTCTAGTATATTTTTAAAAAATAGTTGTTTAATTTGGGTGTTTTCATAAGATATTTTTTCTAGTTCAATGTCAATATATATATTTTCACAAAAGTGAGTAGAGTTATTTACATTAAATATTCACATCCTCAAAATGCATTTGTTTCAAAGTTACAAGCGAGAACAACATGACATAATGTTAACTGATTCTTTTCTGATAGTTTTCTTTTTAAATGAAGTAACCACTTTAACATAAACTATTCTTTTTCCTAGCTTTTGGCTTGCTTGTATGTAACATTCTGTATTAAAGTTATAATTATTGATATGCTTGAAACCTTTCATGTATGCTGTTATTACAAGTAAAGCTAACATTTTAGCAACAATTGCTAGTTGAAAATTACCCTTTCAAAACAAAATTAAAACTGTTGATATTTTCTTTGCACACAAAATGAAAACCAAGTTAATAGAAAAGAAAATCTCCCAAAGGTATTTATATTCTACACACAGGTTTTCAATGTCACAATCTGGGGGGGGGGGGTCATAATAGCGAAATGATTAGTATGATAACAGAAATGAAACACATTCAGTGACCTTTAAAATCAAGCTTTCCTCATGTTCATTTCTGTTACTACCATTCCAATAGTGTGCCCCTCTCACTGAAAATGCTACCATTGCAAGTTTTATTTAAATTTTTCCACTCTCAAAGAACTAATTAAAAACCATGAAATTGAACAGAAGCTCCATGCTTTTAAATAAAGAAAATGAGAGATTTGCATAGTATCAATATATTAATATAATTTCCCTTGATGAACAACTATAGTACAGGAAGAGAGAACATATTAAATTAAAAGTTCCCATGAAAAACATTCATATACATTAAACTTTGCTTTCCATATAATGCAGAAAAAATTTAAAAGCCTTATTATTCATTTATTGTCTTAATATTCAGCATTGTCTCAACAATACTTTGAGCATATATAACAATGATATCTTTTAGATAATATATTTTAACAGTGATCACATCAACCACTTTGATGGAAAAACACCTCATTCATTTACAAATTCTTTAGCGAGTGAGTGGCTACTAGCTTTTATTTTCTTAGAGTTTTTAACGACCTTATTTGAAGAAGATTTAGTGATGGAAAACAAATGTATGATAACTAATAAAGCATGCCCAGCTGAAATTTCATCATGGATATGATAATAATATCTACAGTTCAGAACTATAAAGAGAGAATATTATCCCCTGTTAAATTGAGGCAATAGAATTATAGTATTTCAGACTTTCAGACTGAATGAAGATAGGCTTAAATGAAAAATACGTTAAAGCAAGCTCTGTCTAAAGCACACGCAGCTAAGTCTACGAATAACTCAACGTAGAAAAGATTTGTGACATTCCAGAAGCTGCAGAGCATTACAGATAAAACCTTGGAAATGTGTAGTGTAGTTTATTTCTAGGAACTGGCTTTTTTTCACACTTGTACCATGATTTCAAACACTTCAAATGCTATTGGCTCTTTCTAGAAGAGAGAAAACAGAAGCATGTCTTATGTAGGCATTACAGATACGAACAAACTGTACTGCAATGTTCTGATGTCAGCTGGGGGAGTAACTCAGTGGCAGAGTGCTTGCCTTGGGTTGGAGCACCAGCACAAAAACACAAACAATAACAGTTCATATCAATATTGCTTCATACACAAGTTCATGTTTACCTCATGTAGACAATTATGATTAGGACTAAATATAAAATCTGAACAGGATATATGGAAAACAATAATTCTTATGTCCCCAGAGTTTTCTTTATAATCATGGACTATGTGGAGACAGCATTGGATCTTCCTTTAATGAGGGCTATTGAATTGAAGATCCTGAGCCAACTGAGTATGGATCCTGAAATAGCATTTTAGTTATTTTGAATTCCTCTTTGATTTGATAACATACCAACTAAAAATGCTATTGTGACAAATTAAAGGCCAATAGAAGATATAAATATGATGTACAAACATGGTTAAGAACAGATGTGTTACTTAAAAGAGTATTATTAATAGAATAAATACTTGTTGAATTTACAATTTGTGGGATAAATGTGTAGTTAACCTGTACCTTCTTTGCTAATACAAAATGAAAACAGTTTCCCCTTGGGATGAATGTGGCTCAATGGTACACCTTCCTAATATGCAGAACTCTCTGTATTACATTATCCTTTATCCTGTTTTGACAGGTAATGATTCTTTAGTGACTTTGCTATTCTTAACATAAAATAATTGTTCTTAAATTAGGGGAATTATCCTTTGAAAATTTCTTTTTTCCCACTGTCTCTGCTATGTGAGAAAATTTCTCTTAATATGAAACAAATCAAAGATTCTCTTTTGAAGAAAAATAGTAGCGCGACTAATGAGTATATCAATTTAAGAAAGGACGTTTTGTTTATAAAAATTGCTTTCATTAGAATAGTGTAAAATATAATAATGTGGAAGTGACTTGACATCTCTGAGATGTACAGATATTCTAATTGTCAAATTCTTTTGGAAAAATTGAAGTGTTTTAGAAGTCCTTTACCTCCCTTAGACAATGAAGCTCTCTTAACTTGTTTTATTTTAAAATTCAGTAACTTGAAAAGCTAAACTTTTAGATCCATTCTGTGACTTCAAAAGAGAAATCTGCCAACAAAAGAGAAAACCCTTGATCCAGGATTAAAGAACTCAAGCTTCGTTATATATAAGTCAAGCCAAATTATAAAGATGCTCAAAATAATTTGATCTAGTGATAATTTGAATCTAACAACTAGTCAGTAAAAGAGGTTAGTTCAATTATGTCTGGATGATCTGTGTCTTCTAAACCATTCCAACTTTATTCCCAGGAGACATATGTTTCATTTCACATCTTTGTATAACAAAACCCTACTGTTTTTCTAATAAATCTTTAAAGCATATGCCTAAATCTTGACTTTTAATGGAAACAGTAAGATGAAGATGGGACATTTATTTTTATGCAATATAAGGTTTTTCTTCCCTTTGACTCTGTTCATTTTAGTCATGGACAATCATTTCTTTCCCTGGTTAACAGATCCTGTTGGAAAGGATTTTGTGTAAACTTTGAAGTGCATATTATTACATCTACTAGAAAAATTAGCTCAGGTATGAGATTAGTTTCAGGTTTGGTTTGAAATGAAATGATGTTTTTACAGGCTTTCAGAAGAATAAGTTCATATAGGGACTGACTTCTGATGGTAAGATCCTAGAGAACCCACAAAGCATGATTTCCACTACCAAAAAAGTAATGGGTCTTTGGGAAGAATTTTAAGAGATTCCAAGTTTCAAAATTTATCTTTCTGATGGGAAATTAACATGTTCACACTTGACTAACTCCTACTTGTTTTGATTTATTCTAGAGCAAGATCTAATCCCACATGAAGGAGTCACTATAGCAAACTGCCAGGCTCCAATCTAAACTTTAAACTCAGGGATTAAGAGTGGCCAACAACAGTGTACTTAAATTCATTTTTGTGAAAACATAATTATGTGTATAGGAAACATACTGTTTTATTCAACTATGGTAAATAAAATGTATATTTTTTTCCTAACAATATAAAAATGAGAAAGGATGTTGGGAATGTTGATCATAAAAAGGAAAAGTATGACTTGAACACATGAAAGACAAATGAACATCCCCAGTTGTACCTAATCTACTCCTCTTCTGTTTAAATAAGGTATCAAATATGTTTGATTAATTATAGATATGAGTTTATTTGACTGCATGAAATTCAAGTTATGAAAGTTAAGGAGATCATAATGTAACAACTGACGCATCTGCTGTAAGCCTTTTTATGTTTAAAGACACAGATTTCCTAAGTTAAGACTGGGTTATTAAAATACTAATTTCTTTTTATTTAATATTAGACTTAACTAACTGAAGCTACAGAAGCAATATTCTATTTTGAATTTCTTTCCCTTGTGCTTAATTTTCTGTTAGGCAAAGTCAGAACTCACACCTTCTAATTTGAAGGGCTCCCATTTGTATGCAAAGACCCAATAGATAATTTTTTCAACCTACCCTGCCATTCAGCTGCTTCCATGGAAATTTACAAGGCTTTTTTTTAGACTTGCTGTGTTTTGCTATACTGATATAATGAGTACATTGATAGAACCTGTGAAAGAAAAGCGATTGGATGGGGGCTGAAAAAATTAATAAAGGAATAGAAAAAGAGACAATACTGGTAAAAATCTTGAGATGAATGTTAACTGATTTTTCTCCTAGAGCGTACATTTAATATTGAAAGATATCAAAAGAGACATTTAGAACACAGGTTGGATGATATGTATTTTCCTCTTCACTATCACTGCCATAGAGAACTTTATAAAACTTTACTTTTCACAGATTAAATTTGGCTTTTTTCTATTGTGGGCTATGAGAGGCTTTTGAGTTGTAACTGGAAGGCTGCCTTATCCAGTTTACATCTGGGTAGGTTTTAGGGAGTGATACGCAGTATAATAAATCTGTGATTATAGCATGTGTAACACACTTATCAGCAGTTGTAGAACAATCTTGCAAATTTTCTATAATTCTTCCTTCCTGTTACACTGTCATCATTTCAGATACTTTTTAGCTGAATGATTTCAATACACCATCTTTGTTCTTGATTGTATATTCGTTTTACATTTTTGGCTATAGACCAGAAGTTGACTTTGAGAGAATAAAAAAAAATTTACATGGTCTGATTTTCAAAACTCTAAGAACTCACTCATTAGAATTGATTAAGATTTCTTAAAAGCAAGTACATAATGTATATGCATATTTTTAGTTATAAGGGATAATTCCTAACTATAATTATGAAAGTCATTAGCTTATTTTTGGACAATTATCTTTTGATTGTATGTATCAAATAAATTTAGTTATTGAGCACAGGCACAAGTAAACCTCAGAATGGGAAATCTCGGAATGTTTCATGTTATATTGACATCTGCGTTTGATATTTTAACCATTAACATCCCGAGATCTTTGTTTGTTTGTTTGTTTGTTTGTTTGTGACAGGGTTTCTCTGTAGCTATGGAGCCAGTCCTGGAACTAGCTCTTGTAGACCAGGCTGACCTTGAACTCACAGAGATCGCCTGCCTCTGCCTCCTGAATGCTGGGATTAAAGGCGTGCATCACCACCGCCCAGCTATATTCTGAGATCTTAATTTCTCTTGGATCACAAGGTACATGACCATTAGGCAGCAAAGAAATATTCTTATATTTTAATGTTTATGTTTAATTTTGCACATATTTCTGCCTTGTTCTGTCCATAATGAAGTTCATATTACACTTAACATTATCATGCTCATAGCTTGGTAAATAAACATAATTTTACAAAACTTGGAAGAGGACATGGGATTAGAGAATAGAAAGAGAATGTTTTAATAAATCAGGAAAGACATATGTAGAAATGCAAATTAACTAGAAATAGAATTACATCATCACACTTTTAAATGAAAACTATTAACAGATTCTTAATGTTGCCATTACTGAATGTAAATTCCACAGAATTTTAAATACTTCTATAGAATTTATTTCATCAAGGCTTACAGATGCTGTAGACAGAGTCCTATGATGGACCATATTATTCTATTTCTTATTTTTCTAAATACCTTTTTGCTGTTTTATAAAAATAAATATATATGATTAATAAATTTAATCATCTGTTATCATTTAATAGATATTTAAAGACAGATAAATATGGAAATTTGTATTTCTCCTAAATGTATCCAGATTTGCGTAAATGTATCAAGCAAATTGCCGAGAGTCTATGAGTGATGCATGGCCATGCATGAAGGTGGCTAGAAAATATTACCAGCTATTTCTGACACACTTACTTAAAAAGGGATGGAATTCCACTCTTTTCTTTTTCTGTTTAGTCAAGAAATACTCTAAAGACACCCTTTTATCTCTATACATTTTTTTTTGTTGAAATGAGAAAAATTAAGCTGCAACAGGAGGAGCAAAACCAGGAAGATGAATCAGCGAAAGAAATGTAGAAGGATCTTGTATAACAAAAATCTTACAAACAAAACTAAAAGGAAAAGAAGTGAGGATCCCTAAGTGGAAACAGTTTTTATCCTCTTGTAGAATTTCAGCAGGGATTTAGGGATGTGGAGAGGATGCCTTTGTCTCTGACATTGAATAAAAGTTAGTTCACTATCTGCATCTTTAGACAATCTGATCTGCATTTTTCTTTCTTCAATAACCAGCTTATTCTTCACTCATCACGAGGGTAATTTTTGTGGTTTCATGGGAGCAGATAATTTTATAGTTGAGTTTGTTTTAAAAGGAGCACTATTTTGATAAGCTGACAAATTCACTGGAAAAATACATTTGCTTTTTTTTTTTTTGCTGTGAGCCTCAGAGAAGATTATGACAACACATCTCAGATGTGTTATTTTTATATACTACAATAGACTGCAATTTTCACATTATATATGTGCATATATATGCTTAAATGTGAGATCTATTTATATCATGTTTATGGTATCCATGCTAATTTCTTAAAAGATTTTGAGAAGACCTCAGAGTGTTCATATAACTTATTTTTGTGAACAAAATATTTGAATTGTTAAAGTTAGAAGAACACCAGTTATCAATCAACTAGTTGCGTTTATTACATCGGGGCACTGCAAGCTATCTTAAATTCAGTAAATCATTTTCCATTTAGTCTATGGCTACTATGTTAGAACTTTTATTTAAGAAAAAGGTCACATTATGAACAATATACTTTCTCAATGCTTTGATAATTGTTTGTCATACTCGTGAGGATGAATTCAAGGCAACAGCCATAGGTTTACTCCATGTGTCTGTCTATGAAAACTATCAGAGTAATGGACTCACTCTTGGTCTTTCCAAGGGTAATTCTTGTAACATACTAGAGAAATACAGCATAATTAGTAAAAAATTAGAGGGGGAAAATCCTCTAAACAACCACCTACTATGAAATGTGTAGAACCCTATAAAGTTAATTTAAAAATATAGACAAACCCAGCCTTAGTATATTGAAAAGCACAGTATTTTTGTCCATCTCCCTCCCCAACAATGCCCTTCATACTGTATTCACACCTGACACAAATGCACTACATGGAGTCATTGATCATTTCTGCAAATCGTTGTAACATCAGGCACCAACAGTTAAGTTATTAAAAATAAAACAATAGTACACTCCGCAGAGTTGAGCGAAACTATCAAAAAAGAAGCATGTCAAGTTGGAAGCTACTTGATCACAAAACATGGTAGAATGGTCAACTATTTCTTTCTTATCTATCATTAAACGCTACATACATCTTTGAAGATGCCACACCTGAACACATTCCTTTAGGTTAAGTCCATGAACACTTCCCAAACACTTCTATACAAAGTTACACATTCATGCTGAGTTATTTATCATTATGTAGTGATAATCTGCAGTGGGCCAGAGTTTCATTTGCAGGCTATTCAGAGAGGACCTGTGTAGCAGGATATTGAAATCCAGGGTGGAAGCATAAACGTAAGGTGTGCAGCCATAGTCTGAACAGGAGACTGTGGGTTGTGAAGGGATGTCTGGAGAATCAGAAGAATGAGTTGTAGAGGGTATATTTTTCTTTGTAGAAATGCTGAGGCACAAAATACAGGTGTTTATAGTACTTTCATACATGAAACCCCTTCTCCTGTATGTGCATCATATGTAAACGTAAAGTCTGTATGCTGCTGACTATTCGTCTCTGATGTCCAATGAGTATGACTCCAATTCGTCTAATATCACTGAAAGAGTATGAAGCGGGAGAGAAGGGAGAGGAGAGGGAAAGAGGAAGGGATGGGGGAGAGAAAGAGAAAGATTTTGAGCTCATAGTTTTAATAAATACAAGCATGAGAAAATGAATATGTAGCTATGTTAAATATATGGAAATAAATGTGTTGGTTAATAGTTAAGTAGTCATATAAATAAATAGTAAAATTTTATATTTTCTTTTCCTTTGTTCCATAAATTTTTTTTTGGTTTTTCGAGACAGGGTTTCTCTGTGGTTTTGGAGCCTGTCCTAGAACTAGCTCTTGTAGACCAGGCTGGTCTCGAACTCACAGAGATCCACCTGCCTCTGCCTCCCAAGTGCTGGGATTAAAGGCGTGCGCCACCACCGCCCGGCATTCCATAAAATATTTACAAATTCATTTAATCTCAAATTAAATGATAAAGAAAAATTCCATATCCAGATAGAATGCTTGCGTTTCTATTAGGCATAAAGCTACTTATAATTAAAGTAATTATATAAATTTGCAACAGTCATAGAAAATGTAGAACATGTAGGGGCATAATATGGGTATGAAAATAACATTAAACAAAATTTAGCAATTTTGTGGAAATAAATAAGGAGGACACATACATATTCTACAACCCTATAATAATTTCACTTTTATGCTTAAGAGATACACAAAAAATGAATACAAAAATCATACAATTCTAAAACACTTCTACTAATACAAATTTAAAAGACAGTGAGACATATAATAAAACACTTATACTAATAGAAATTTAGAAAACAGTGAGACATATAAGAAAACCCCATATAGTAGCCGAAACTGCTGAACTAGATTTATAGGTGTGAGAACAGGGTGGGGGGGGGAAGCCAAGAACAATACATAGCCTCTTGATGAATTTTAAAATTTATATGAAATATCTAAATTAGATATACACAGACTAATAAACATTAAATACAGGACAATGATGACCTTGGAATGGGAGTAGGAGAAGTGATAGAACTGGAGTACACACAGAGCTTCAACTGTTTCTATGAATGTATTATCTCATAAACTTGGTGGTGGATACATTGGAATTTGTTACTTCATTCTCTGTACTTATTTGTGCATATATGATAAATAGTTTATAAGTTCAAAAACATTTAGTATTTGACTTTAAAAGCTGTCATTATTTTGAACCATATGAACTTGCATTGCTATCTTAAAACAATGGTAATTTAATGGTGCCATCTAATTATAATATTTTAATCCACATTTGAACTTTTCTATTAGATGTAGATAAATGATGGTCTTTGAGAGGATGGAAGATGTCTTATCATGATAATACATAGAAGGATCTCTAAAATGTCATGGTAACACATTAGAGTAAGCAGATTGATCTAATGATGGCAGTAGGTGCTGAATATTAATATATATGAATAACAATTTACCAAGGCAACAAACACTATGTTGATGTAATGTCTATGATTTTAATAAGATCAGTATGTATCTGGGAAGCATTTCCAACAATGTTAAAAATCTATTTGAATTAAATATATTCTTTAAAAGAATAATAGTTGAGAGTTTAACTTACAGCTTCCACTGGAATGATAAAGACAGAAATCACACACTAGCCTTAGGAATGGTATTCTTGATTTGGATGTGTAAATTTGAAATTCCATGAGCAAAATATCTAATTACAGTAATAAGCCTAGAACTACTTACTCGATGCTCATTCTTGAGATCAGATCAAACGTTGTAAAGCCTGCTGCCATGAAGTTACTCTTGTATTGCCCCATCTTTATAGAATCCAACCAGTCACCAACTGTGACGAACAATGGATATTCAGGACCATCGCCAGGGGATTCTGGCATTCTGCAGGGAAATAAATCATAGCATTTAAAAGCCAGAATGACCAGACTTGATCATTTTTTGAAATATTCTTGTAGCTAATATTTTTATTCTCCATTTGAATGAACTCTAATTTTCTGTCTTATTCAGCAAGCAAAACCTTTTTTTTCTTTTTTTAAATCAAATCAGTTATTTCTTTTTGACATTTTCTGCTTTTTGTCACTATGGATATAATAATACTTGATAGATCTTTAGAAAACCCATTTTTCCTATATTCCGTTTTATTTTTCTCTCTCATGAAATTGCTTTCAAATTTGATGCTTAGTCTACCCACTTTCTCTGCATGGAGAGTTCACTGCTTCTGACCTCCTAGGAATCCACACCCTTCACCATAAGAAAACTCACAGAATCAACTAACCTGGATTCATAGGGGCTCACAGAGACCGAACTAACAACCCCTCCAAGGGTCTGGCCTAGGCACTCTGCGCATATGTTACAGTCTTGTATCTTGGTCCTCTTGGAGGACTTCTAACAGTGGGAAACGGGGCTGTTGTCAACTCTTTCACTGGCCTTTGGGACTCTACTCCTCATACAGGGTCACCTTGCTCAGCCTTAAATACATTAATCTTACTGCAACTTGGTAATGCCATGCTGTGTTGAGACCAGCACTTTCCATAACAGAAATGGATGAGGAGTAGATTTGCAGTTAGGGACAGAGGGAAGCCTGAGAGGTGGGAAGGACTGAGGAAAGAGGAGGGAGGGGAAATTGCAACTAGGATTTAAAACAATAAATAAATGGGAAATAAAGGAATTCATATCCTTTTACCTGCCCCACACTTGTTCTTGTGATGGTTCTCCTTTTAATGGTGACTTCATTGATTAACCTTCAAAATATGTTTTTAAACATTCAACAATAATAGTCTTATTTAAAAATATTTTCTGATATCATAGAATTTAGTTTCATAAGTATGATTTACATATATCTGAGCAGAGTGTATGTGTATAATAGCTCAAAACATGGATATGAAGGCTTAAAATAAAATAAGTCTGGGCTAGCAAGTCAAGGAATATTGATGGTATTATAATAGTATTATCTCAGTTCTTTTAGTTTCTGAAATATATGCAAAAAGCATTCTAATTGAGAATGTTTTATAGTTTAAGAATAGAAATGGTATAAAGGCATTATTTTGGAAAGGCTAGGAAAGATACATGTCAATGTGTGCACACATGTATGTGTAGACATAGCACACATACATATTAGCAAAAGTTGGGAGGAATAAAATGGGATTAATCTTAGAAATTATACTAAAATAGCTCAGAATTTTGTACTCATATCAATCTAGTAAAAACTGTACTATTCTTCTTTCAGGAATATTGGAAGATGGTTCATGAAGGAAGCTGTGTGAGGGGATTTCTGAGAGCTCATGAGACAATTTCAAGTAAGAGTCTTGTAACCTCTGCTCCTCCATAAGATGGGTTGCTCTTGGAATGTGCTTTTGTGCCTTATCCAGGTGCAGTAAATAGTGGATTACTTCAGATCACCCATCATCTTACTTATTCTTAGTCAGATGACATTTCCAAGCTAGAGTTTTCCTCCTGACTGTGTACAGCTTAAACTCCTGTGACCTTGCCCTTGGGATTGTGTACAACTTGAACTCAAGTCAATTTTGCTTACATGACCTTGCTTAACCCATAGAATGCCCTTGGAATATAAATTGTCTGACACCTTGGATAAAGTTAGGTACTGCATGAGACATTAGCTTGCCTCATTTTTAGTCTTCCCTCTCCCAGGTCCATGCTGCTAAATAGAGTGACAACACAAGAACATGTAAATATTCTGATGCTTGTAAAAATCTGGTACAAAAAGTGTTTGTATAATAATGGATGCGTTACAATAAGAGTATTATTTAAACATTCTCAGACACAGAACTTACATTATCTAAACTAATAATGATAAACTAATAATGATCTTTAAAATATGCTTGTGATTTTATTCAAGTCAATATTTACTAAATAATAAAAATGTTATTACTACAAGTAAATGATAAAACTTTTATTAGACACTGATAGTTCAACTTCTAATTATTTTGTTTCTAAAATATTTTAAATGAATGAAAATATCTGTAGAATATAATTTGAATATCAATATCTTAAATATTTTCTCAAGATTTTGCTATCAATATTTTAATTGGAACTAGAATCTGCTAATATTCAAAAATATTTGGCTAGAACCCTATGAAGGAAGAATTCTGGGTTTATACATGCTATCTAACGCTGGAATCATTTTGATAAAATATATATGGGAATGACCATTAAGTTCTAAGGTGAAGACCACTTACAACCAAAATTAATCTTAACATTTTAAACCATTCATTTAAAGTTTTGAGGAGCACAGGTCGTACTTATTTCACCACTTAAAGACTAGAAGGTGGTTTCTTACCATGTAGGACCAAGTCCTTGCTAAAGACCTAGGCTTCATTTCTTTGGATATTTTCTTTGCTACATTGATTTCTTTCTCTTGTTTTCTAAATGAGATCCAGTTTAAAGTAAAGGTGGGTGTAAAGGGGATAATGAAGAAACTCAGAGGCTTTTGGTTTTTGTATATGTAATAGGAGGTTGTGTATGCTGTACTCTATATTAGGTATGGGTTTCCTTTAATGGTGATTTTACTTTTAAAAAACCTATTCAGTTCTAGTACATTTCTATAATTCCTTTTTGGCTCTAAGCCATAATGATAATGCTATTTAACTGTGGACTGTTTCATTCTAGTTAATATCAGAATGATTCACAATTTTACACAAAACAAAAATGAGCCATGCCCCAAATTTGAAAAGCTATCATGGCCATCTAATGACAGATTCTGGATTGTTGCAATGTTTCTTCCAAGATTCAATACCATAAAATAAAAATTTATATATGAAATACTAAATAAGAGCTATCGTGGCAAACAGATTCATCTAGATTTTTGAATGGCGGCATTCCTTAAAATCTCTAATTGTCAAGCATGCCCTCTGAAAATGCAAGAGAAATAAAAATAGTTTCTGTACAATTTTCTTGAATTATTTAGTCAGGGTTTATAGCATATCTTTTAAGAAATACTGCTGTACTTCACAACTAACTCTCAAAAGATTAGTATACCCTTATTGACTATTAGCATAAGTGACCAGGGGTTAGAAAGGTGAGTGTCTTATTTTAGACCAATTTGGCTTTAATAAATGGAATTATTTGTTAAGAGAGTTTTGTTAAAATGGAAGAAAATTTAAAAAATAGTTGAATTGATATTTACTTCATTTTATTATGCCTTTCTTATTTTGTTTTTATTTATTTGTTTGAAATAGTATTTCACTATGTGGGTCAGTCTGGCCTCAAACTCTTGATCCTCTTGCCTCAGCCTCTGGAGTTCCAGAATTATAGACCTGTACCTTGAAACCTAGTTCATATTCTTCTGGATGCACGGGGAACGTCGGATGACACTGGTGCAACTCTTGAGATTTTACAATTTTTTTGCAGCTGGTGAGTGGAAATGTGAATTGCTAACTTTGTCATTACTGTAGAAAACTGATCAAAGAATGAACGCCCCTTACAGCTGGTAAAGGGCTGGAATGTTTCCCCACTGAAAAGCATTCACATTTGCTCCCCAAATACTGCGATGTCATAATTTTCTTTCTCGCACACACGTTAGTAAACTAGTTAACTTCCTGGCCTTTTCTGCAGCTACCTTGGCACTTGATTTAGTAAGGTCAGAGGCCCCACATTGTTTACAGTGCCTGTGTGGCAATTTTGATTTCTCTTTATCTTATACTGAAGTTGAAAAATGCTGCTCTATTCTGGCTTTCAGAGTTGGACACTATCATCCTCACATGAATTCTCTCCATTGCCTAATAAACAATAAATGCCCTTTCTTATCAAATCAGTACAGTGATAAATTCAGTCTATTTTTTGCTGAGAGTGTGGAAATTTCTGGTCCTTGCTGATTAGTGGAGTTGCTCACCTGAAACATCTTCATAGCACAGCCAGAAGCTCATATTTTAAAAGTATATATTGTAAGCGGGATGTAGCAGCTTACACCTTAACTTTTAACACTAAGGTATGTTACAAATTTCACATGAAGTTCTCAGGTTTTAATGGCTATTCTTTTCTATACTTGGTTAACTCATATGTCAACATTTGAATATATATATATATATATGTATATATATATTCCAGAAAGTCATTGAAAGAAAATTTTACTTTGCATTCTTTCAGATTTTCAAGATTTTTACATTGAATTCTTTACAATAGAGCCTATTATTTAACTTAATCACAAATTACCAAAATAATTTTGAGACTAAAAATTAAAACACGATTTGACTAAAATATCCTAAAGGAACAAATGCTTAGAAACATGTATCTTGCCTCTACTTAATGCTTATGGGTAATGAAGGTATAATATTTTCAGTATGATTCTTAACTGTGTTAAGTTGTAGGCATTAATTTTTGTCAGATTTTATTAATTCTTCTGTTTTTAATTGTTCAGATTATTTAACATGCATAATAAGATTGATAACTGGTGAAACATACAGAAATTATAATTAAAATAATCTCTCTGAATTCTGAGAACCCAGCATGTGGTCCCAAAAGAGAGACTGGATCTCAAAGAAAGCGTCTCTGTGAGGAAATAATCCAGAGTAAAAACAAACATCACATCACATGCAGCCACAATGCATTGGGAGTGTCTGTCATTATATCATCATGGGATCAATTCCCAGTGCTTTACAATGACAGCAGCGCAGCATCTGAGCTGAGCAGAAAGTGTCGTGGTGTAATGACTGCTACTGCAGGAAGAAAGAAGCAATGCAAGTATGTGCAGCACCAGAAAATTCAATCTACAGAAACGCCCAAGGATGTAATTCTGGAACTATGATCTTGCTGTATTTCCTTCATCTCTCTATATTGTAGTAGTTATATCTGTCCACAGCCAATGTTCTTTAAGTGGCTGTACATTTCAGGAGGATGTTTAAGGAGTATATGACTATTTATCTGCT